ATTTCAGTTTTGCCTTTGTATCTTGATGTTCACAGTTATTTTCCAAAATGGTATATACAGCCGAGATTTGATGTGGGACTTTAATTTTATCATAATTCTTTATCAAAAATTGTACCAGTGGATGTAAATCTCTGCTGGTCTTGCTTTTTATTTCACTGTTTTGAATATAGCTTCTTATTTGTAAATACAGGAAGAAGTGGGAATGTGGCAAATGATACTCTTTGCTTAAAGATTCAAATGATTTTAATCCCTTCTCGTTTAAGCACTGTCCAAAAATGGTCAATCCCTTTTGTGCCCAAATGTCAAAGGCTTCATCAGTTTTGTTAGGCATGAATTCGGGGTCTTCTTTTATCTCTCTCAGAGCCACTAAATCTTTCTTTATTTCAACAGTGTTTTTAATTCTAGCCCAAATTTCCAGAGTGTTTCTGATTGATGTATTATCTTTTACTGGTACTTTTCGTTGGTATTCTGTACAGAAAGGAATCGTTTTTATTGGACCCTGACACATAAACATCTCCATCGTTCTCCACTTTGCTTCTGAGTTATAATTTAACCAAGTGCGTATGTGCTGCATTTGCGCTGCCATATAATAGTGCTTCAGGTTTGGGAGAGCAAGTCCCCCCTTCTCTTTGGCCATTTTCAAGGTCTTCATTTTAACTCTCGGTTTTTTATCATCCCATATAAATCTACCAATCATTGTATCCCAGATTTTGAAAGTGTTTGCACATACATATAGTGGTATTGTCTGGAATAAAAACAGAAAACGAGGGAGTACATTCATTCTAATTGCCTCTACCCAAAGACCATATGGCTGATTTCCACCTATTCATGTCCTGTCTAACATGTGCTTCCAAACATTTATAATTCAGCTGGTACAATAATTTGTTATTCTCTGGTAGCACAGTTCCCAGGTATTTAATTCTGTCCATATCCCACTGCCATAAGTAATTACTCTTCACCTCTCTGCTTACTGGGGCTCCTATAACCATTGCTTCACACTTCTGTATATTTAGTTTATATCCTGACACATTACTATAGTTATCAATGACATGCATAAGAGCTGGTAGTGATTGTTCTAGGCTTGTAAGATATAAAACCACGTCATCAGCATATAAAGCCAGTTTTTGAGATTGCTCTGCTATTTTCACACCCTCAATTTCATTAGTTGCTCTAATATATGCTGCCAGGGGTTCAATACAAATTGCAAAAATTAAAGGGGATAGAGGATCGCCCTGTCTTGTTCCCCATTGTAATTCGAAACTGTCAGACAGAGTCCCGTTTACTCTAATCTGTGCTTTTGAAATACTGTACATAGCTCGAAGCCATTTGATAAAGGTGTTATGAAAGCCAAATTTACTGCAAGTTTCAAATATAAAAGGCCATGACACCCTATCAAAAGCTTTTTCGGCATCTAGAGTAAGAATCAGCGTTTGAATGTTCATTTTCTTTGAGAAGTCTATTATATTCAATGTTCGTCTTACATTGTCTGATAAATATCTATCTGGAATAAAACCAGTCTGGTCAGGATCTATGATGAGTGGGATAATCTTTGATAATCTATTTGCTATGATGCTGCTTAGTAGCTTCTGATCCACATTTAATAAAGTTATTGGTCTATAGGATCCACAACTTGTAGGGTCTTTCCCTTCTTTATGTATAACTGTGACTATGGAGTTACACCACGTATTTGCCCAATGACTATGATTTAACGCCCAATTGAAGGCTCTCTCCAAAACTGACAATAGTTCTTTGCTAAATTCTTTAAAAAAATTCACCTGTAAAACCATCACTTCCTGGGCATTTTCCCTTTTTTAACTTTTTTATCACCACCATAATCTCTTCTGGGGTAATCGCTGCTGTCAAATTTGCATTTTGTTCCTCAGTTACTTGCGGTAAGATTATTCCAGATAGATATTCTTTAACTCCATTTTGCTGAGTCAAATTATTGTCTGAACTATACAGTTGTTCATAATAGTTTGCAAATTCTTGTGCGATAGCCCTCTTGCCTTTAACAATTACTTCCCTTGTTTGATTTTTGATTGCTACTATATTTGATTTTTCCTGTTGTTTTTTTAATTTATAGGCCAGGTTTTTCATTGCTTTTGCCCTGCTGTCAAAGTATTTCTGTTTTGTAAAAGTCAGAGCTTTCTCTGCTTCAGTAGTTAATTGTCCATCCAGTTCATTTCTAAGTTTATTTAGAGATTGCAAGTCAGAGCTACAACCTGTCTCCTTGTGCTTAAGTTCTAATGTCTTAATTGATTGCTCTAGTTCCTTTGTTCTTTTCTCCCTTTCTTTCTTCTTGTACGAGGCAAATGATATAATTTCCCCTCTCAAAACAACTTTCATTCTCTCCCACAATATAAGTGGGTCTACTTCCCCTGTATCATTGATCTCTAAGTAATTTTTGATGACTGATTTTATTTTAGTCTTGAAGTCATCTATTTGTAGCAGGGAGTTGTTTAACCTCCATGTCCTCTGACCTTTCTCTAAGTCAAGGTTTAGTTTTAGAGATATCAAAGCGTGGTCAGACAATGTAATTTTGCTTATGTGGCATTCTGCAACCATTGATATGTGGTTCTTAAACATGAAAAAGTGATCCAGCCTTGAATATTTACAAAAAGATTTTGAAAAAAAAGTGTAGTCTCTCTCTTTCGGGTGGAGGGCTCTCCATACATCTGTCAGCCCTATTTCCTTCACTGCTCCTCTCATTATTTTAGCTGCTTGATTTGAACTATGTAGTCTAAGACTGTGTGTCCTTACTTGGGTCCATTATGAGGTTGAAGTCACCTGCAGCAATAGTAACTCCTTGACTTTCCAGTACAATCATTTCAACAACCTTTTTAATTAAGTCTGGACCTTCTTCAGGAGGATTATAAACATTCATAAATGAAACCATTACATCTTCAATCATTCCCATGACCATCACATATCTGCCTTCTTTATCAGCAGTTACTTTCTTCAATATAAAACCTATTTGTGGCATTATTATATGAAGAGTAATATACCTGGGCATTTGCAAGTTTCTTAAGCTTTTCATGATCTGATTTCACTAGATGTGTCTCTTGTAAAAAAATTATATCTCCCTTTTCTTTTTTGAGCTTTACTAATAGTTTCTTGCGCTTAATTGGGTTGTTGATACCATTCACATTGTACGAGATTACATTTAAAACTTTCATTTATTCAGAGAGGGGTTTGATAAGTACAGTTGATTATCATTTTTTACATCTTCCTTGTTATTAGTTAATATATCCTTGGTCCTACTATTTTTCAACTCATTGTCATTAACCATAAAAAGTGAGCAACACACATAAATTCCCTTAACAAAAATCAAAACAAAAACCTGACTTCCAAAGGTAGCAGTCCCTACAAGACTGCCTGTAGATTGATGATTCCTAAGAAAAATATAGGAATCTGGGGCCTCCACTAAGAACTGCCTCAGTTGAAAAAGCAACAGCAGCTTACCAAACACAAGCTGCATCATTCATGTCACTGTGAATACCCCCTCCTGCCCCCCCCTCTCAAAAACAAACTCCCACGTATCTTACTGAGGTGGGTTTCAGTTTCCACACGCATAAACGTGTTTTTTTTCCCTTTTCCCTTCTTCTTCCCCCCTTCTCCTCCCTTCCTCTCTCCTCTCCCCGCTTTTTAAAGCAAAGAGAAGAAAGAAAAAAAAAAGAAAAAGGAAAGAGTTATATCCATGTCCTTTCTTCATCTTTGCGCTACCAGGTTGTGTATTTGTGTGTGTGTGTGTGTGTGTGTGTGTGTGTGTGTGCGTGTGCGTGCATGTGCGTGTCTTTGCCAATATACGTATTTGTGTGTAAGTAAGGCAAGTTCAGTCACAGTACCTTTAAGGCTCAACTTATAAGTGTTCCTCTCAACTCCTTCAGCAGGTCTTCAGCAGTCCTATATTCTTCTCTCTGCCTCCTACGCTCTTCAAACGATGCTGCAGCTGGTGCGTCTCCGGCCTGTGCCCTGGCTCCCTGGTCTCCTTGTGGGTGTTGAACTCCGCTGACGATGCCTCGTGCGTGAAGGGCTGCCGCTGCCTCCCTCGCCGAGTTATACGTCTGCGATCCCTCGTTGTCAAAGACCTTTAACTTTGATGGGTAGATAATATACGATTTCACCCCTTTCTCTCGTAACTCTTTCCTTATTGGGGCATACAGGCTTCTCTCTTTTTGTATTTTAGAAGAATAATCTTGATCAAAGAAAATCCGGCTGTCCTCATACCTTATTACTCTCTTGGCCCACGCCGCACAGAGGACTCTTTGACGTGTGTCCCATGTCAGAAATTTGGCTATGATTGAGCGTGGAGCTGCTCCACTGTGTGTAGGTTTCCTCTGAAGCGATCGGTGTGCAGCGACAATGTCAAGTTGTGCCGCTGGTATCTCCAGCTTCTCCGATATCAGTATCTTTAAAAACTTAACAATGTCGCCTCCCTCTGCTCCCTCTTTCACCTGGTGGATCCTGATGTTGTTCTGTCTAGATTTGTTTTCCAAGTATTCCATTTTTCCACCAAGTGCTTTTCTTGCTGCAACAGGTGGGTTAATGCTCTGGCGTTAACCATCTCGTTCTCCTCCAGCTTGTTCACTCTTTGTTCAACAGCCAGGATATTTTCGTTTGCGCCGTTAAGCGCTGTTTGCATCTCTCTCACCTCTGTTCTTAAATTCTGGAGCTCTTCTTTCTTTTCATCTGATCGTTGATGAAAGTCCGACCTGAAGTCCTTGATTTGTGCAGCAATATCATCTTTTATACTCAGCACCAGTCTTTCCAAACTTTTCCTGGCGTCTTCCTTCACGCTCGCCATTCTGATTGTTTGCTGTTGTCCGTGTTTGTCCTTTCTCTCTTTAATTTTTGCCACCTCGGTGATCGCACCGGAGCGCAAATTCATTCCACCTTCTTCCAGATAAGCAACTGCTAGTTTCTCATGGGAAAAGTTCAAGCAGATTTCCAAAATAACAAATCTTTGGGGGGGTTATGCCGGAGAGTATCATCACAGCCGCATATCCCGCATGTGCTCATCCGGAAGNTTCTACTGAGTTCTACTGTGTGTTCCAATGTGTGTTCTACTGTGTGTTCTACTGTGTGTTCTTCTGAGTTCTTCCTTCACTGTGTGATGAACTCTGCAGCCACCAGAGGACACTTCCTGTCCCTCACTGACTGATGTGTCTCTGTGTCTCTGTCAGACTTGTTCCTGTCCTCAGTGTCCTTCAACATCGTCCGTCTTTCAGTCCAAAGCAAAGTAAGTGTCTTCTCCATGTGTGTGTTAGTGTGGGTGTGTGTGTACTTTACTCGTGTGTATAATGTGTGTGTGTGTGTGTATCAGGCTGGTGATGGACGACGGGACAGGTGAGGCTCACGTCTGGTTCTCCGGCGCTCTGGTTCGTCCTCTGCTGGGATTGGCTGATTCTCAGTGGGAGGGGCTTCAGAGAGCGCTCAGGGTCAGAGGTCACATCAGAGTGTACCCTCGGGGGCGGAGCCTGGTCAGTACCACTTCCTGTTTGACATCACAGCAGCTGTCAGTGGACCAGTCACAGCGTGTGTGTATTTACCTGTGTGTCTCTCTCAGGTGTGTGACTCTGATGACCCTCTGGTCCACTTCCTGTTGTGTGTGTGCGGCAGTGATGTCACGTGTCGTCAGCTCTTTGTCACCTGCAGGAAACACAACACCCAGAGATCAGAAGGTAAACACACGCGCAGCTCAGCATTGGTTACCATGGCGACAGAGATGAACCTCCATTCCCTGACACACGGCCGTCAGGTGAACACCTGCAGAGCGGCGGCCATCTTGACCAAGTTCCTGTTGTTTGTTTCAGAGGTGAAGAGGTTCAGTCGAGGAGAACGAGACTTCATGACCAGAGTGACTCCGCCCCTACAGCTCACCTGTCTGCACCTCAACACCTGTCTGTGACACACACTGATCTCACCTGTCTGCACCTCAACACCTGTCTGTGACACACACTGATCTCACCTGTCTGCACCTCAACACCTGTCTGTGACACAGACTGATCTCACCTGTCTGCGCCTCAACACCTGTCTGTGACACACACTGATCTCACCTGTCTGCGCCTCAACACCTGTCTGTGACACAGACTGATCTCACCTGTACACACACTGACACACAGACAGGAAGAGGCGGAGCCAGCTCACCTGTACCCTGACTGGATGGAGCAGGTCCTCTTATTAGGAGATCACCATGTTTGTACAGTAGCCCAGAGTGGACAAACCAAACACTGGCTCTGTATGAGGACATTCATGTGTTCATATCACACAGCAGTTCTACTTCCTGTTTGACAGATGATGATGTCACAGACTGAACCTCCAACACACTGTTATTAAATCTGTTTCTGATCAACTCTGTCTCAGTTCTCATTTCACTCACAGATACCTGTCGTCATGGCAACACCATCATCCATCATATTGAAATTACCTTTATCATTATGATCATTTTTATTGGTTATCAATATATTATCAGTATTATTGTTATATTTATTAAAATGATCATTATTAGTATCAAAATTATTGAAAATCTTTATTGATTACATCGTGTAATTCGTTGAGAACAAAATAATGTGAGAACAATCCATGGAAACCAAAATCATGAACTCATTCAGGACTGAATTCAGAATCAAACCCAAAATCAAAGTGGAAAAATCACAGGCTGATCCAACTTGTGTGAATTTCCTCAGGACAACTGATGATGTGGCTCAGTAGTGTGTGTGGCCTCCACCTGCCTGGATACACTCCCTACAACATCTGGGCTCCTGATGAGACCACCGATGGTCTCCTGGAGGATCTCCTCCTAGACCTGGATCACGGCATCACCCAGGGCCCTCTGCACCAGGAGGAACCCAGGACCCTCTGCACCAGGAGGAACCCAGGGCCCTCTGCACCAGGAGGAACCCAGGGCCCTCTGCACCAGGAGGAACCCAGGGCCCTCTGCACCAGGAGGAACCCAGGGCCCTCTGCACCAGGAGGAACCCAGGGCCCTCTGCACCAGGAGGAACCCAGGGCCCTCTGCACCAGGAGGAACCCAGGGCCCTCTGCACCAGGAGGAACCCAGGGCCCTCTGCACCAGGAGGAACCCAGGGCCCTCTGCACCAGGAGGAACCCAGGGCCCTCTGCACCAGGAGGAACCCAGGGCCCTCTGCACCAGGAGGAACCCAGGGCCCTCTGCACCAGGAGGAACCCAGGGCCCTCTGCACCAGGAGGAACCCAGGGCCCTCTGCACCAGGAGGAACCCAGGGCCCTCTGCACCAGGAGGAACCCAGGGCCCTCTGCACCAGGAGGAACCCAGGGCCCTCTGCACCAGGAGGAACCCAGGGCCCTCTGCACCAGGAGGAACCCAGGGCCCTCTGCACCAGGAGGAACCCAGGGCCCTCTGCACCAGGAGGAACCCAGGGCCCTCTGCACCAGGAGGAACCCAGGGCCCTCTGCACCAGGAGGAACCCAGGGCCCTCTGCACCAGGAGGAACCCAGGGCCCTCTGCACCAGGAGGAACCCAGGGCCCTCTGCACCAGGAGGAACCCAGGGCCCTCTGCACCAGGAGGAACCCAGGGCCCTCTGCACCAGGAGGAACCCAGGGCCCTCTGCACCAGGAGGAACCCAGGGCCCTCTGCACCAGGAGGAACCCAGGGCCCTCTGCACCAGGAGGAACCCAGGGCCCTCTGCACCAGGAGGAACCCAGGGCCCTCTGCACCAGGAGGAACCCAGGGCCCTCTGCACCAGGAGGAACCCAGGGCCCTCTGCACCAGGAGGAACCCAGGGCCCTCTGCACCAGGAGGAACCCAGGGCCCTCTGCACCAGGAGGAACCCAGGGCCCTCTGCACCAGGAGGAACCCAGGGCCCTCTGCACCAGGAGGAACCCAGGGCCCTCTGCACCAGGAGGAACCCAGGGCCCTCTGCACCAGGAGGAACCCAGGGCCCTCTGCACCAGGAGGAACCCAGGGCCCTCTGCACCAGGAGGAACCCAGGGCCCTCTGCACCAGGAGGAACCCAGGGCCCTCTGCACCAGGAGGAACCCAGGGCCCTCTGCACCAGGAGGAACCCAGGGCCCTCTGCACCAGGAGGAACCCAGGGCCCTCTGCACCAGGAGGAACCCAGGGCCCTCTGCACCAGGAGGAACCCAGGGCCCTCTGCACCAGGAGGAACCCAGGGCCCTCTGCACCAGGAGGAACCCAGGGCCCTCTGCACCAGGAGGAACCCAGGGCCCTCTGCACCAGGAGGAACCCAGGGCCCTCTGCACCAGGAGGAACCCAGGGCCCTCTGCACCAGGAGGAACCCAGGGCCCTCTGCACCAGGAGGAACCCAGGGCCCTCTGCACCAGGAGGAACCCAGGGCCCTCTGCACCAGGAGGAACCCAGGGCCCTCTGCACCAGGAGGAACCCAGGGCCCTCTGCACCAGGAGGAACCCAGGGCCCTCTGCACCAGGAGGAACCCAGGGCCCTCTGCACCAGGAGGAACCCAGGGCCCTCTGCACCAGGAGGAACCCAGGGCCCTCTGCACCAGGAGGAACCCAGGGCCCTCTGCACCAGGAGGAACCCAGGGCCCTCTGCACCAGGAGGAACCCAGGGCCCTCTGCACCAGGAGGAACCCAGGGCCCTCTGCACCAGGAGGAACCCAGGGCCCTCTGCACCAGGAGGAACCCAGGGCCCTCTGCACCAGGAGGAACCCAGGGCCCTCTGCACCAGGAGGAACCCAGGGCCCTCTGCACCAGGAGGAACCCAGGGCCCTCTGCACCAGGAGGAACCCAGGGCCCTCTGCACCAGGAGGAACCCAGGGCCCTCTGCACCAGGAGGAACCCAGGGCCCTCTGCACCAGGAGGAACCCAGGGCCCTCTGCACCAGGAGGAACCCAGGGCCCTCTGCACCAGGAGGAACCCAGGGCCCTCTGCACCAGGAGGAACCCAGGGCCCTCTGCACCAGGAGGAACCCAGGGCCCTCTGCACCAGGAGGAACCCAGGGCCCTCTGCACCAGGAGGAACCCAGGGCCCTCTGCACCAGGAGGAACCCAGGGCCCTCTGCACCAGGAGGAACCCAGGGCCCTCTGCACCAGGAGGAACCCAGGGCCCTCTGCACCAGGAGGAACCCAGGGCCCTCTGCACCAGGAGGAACCCAGGGCCCCCTGCACCAGGAGGAACCCAGGGCCCTCTGCACCAGGAGGAACCCAGGGCCCTCTGCACCAGGAGGAACCCAGGGCCCTCTGCACCAGGAGGAACCCAGGGCCCTCTGCACCAGGAGGAACCCAGGGCCCTCTGCACCAGGAGGAACCCAGGGCCCTCTGCATCAGGAGGAACCCAGGGCCCTCTGCATCAGGAGGAACCCAAGGCCCTCTGCACCAGGAGGAACCCAAGGCCCTCTGCACCAGGAGGAACCCAAGGCCCTCTGCACCAGCATAAGGTCTGACAGTCACTCTGAGGATCTCATCATGGTGCGGCCGGTCTCCTGGTGTCTCCTCCATGCTCTTGACACTGTGCTGGGAGACACAGTTGACTTTGAGTCACACTGTGATCGTCATGTGCTCCTTCATTTGTTGAGCAGTGTACGTTTTAACTATAATCATCATCATCATCATCATCATTATTTATTATTATTATCAGTATTTGTACAATCATTAGTGACTGAAATGTTACATTCTCTATATCATAACTTATTAAGATGCGACACAGCTGAAGTGTTGATGTGTTTATACCTGCAGATGAAGATGATGATGATGAAGATCCAGCAGGAGGCGCTGCAGCTCCGTCACTCTCTGCTGTGCTTCAACATCAACATCCTGCTGCCTAGCAACAGATGACACAACCAGCAGCTGGTGTTTGATTGGCCGAGCTGACTGTGAATAAACTGATGAACCATGTTAAAATGTTTTGGTTTGATGACGTCACCTATACATGATATTATATTGTATTGATTACAGAGGAGATCAATAAACAGGATCAATATGATTCCAGATCAATATGAAGCCACAGTGTCACAGTTTTACTCCAACATGTTTCAGACACTCTGAATAAATCTCAAGGATCATTTTAGGAAGATTAAAAATGTTTTCATGAAGAGTTTGAACTGACTTTGATTTAAAACCACTTTAAACACACTGACTGTTTTGATTTCATGTTTGTAGAAAAACTCTGAGGAGATTAAAACATGTGCTGATGTTTCTGCCTCATCATCATCATCATCATCATCATCGTGTGTTTGAACCACGTTTACAGAGTTATTTTTTATGGCTGTGTTTCTGGTGATTTCCCTCCAGACTGCCTCACACACCTGAACAGGTGAGACACACTGAAGGTACCAGGATGAACCTGTAGGAGGCGTCTCAGCTCCTTCTGTCTCTCTGTCTGTCTCTGCTGGTCAACTCCAAACTTCTCCTCCTGGTAACTGATGACTCATCAGCAGCTCAGCCTCTGATTGGCTGCTGACTGAACAGGAAGTGAAAGTAAAGAGTTGGGACTTTCCAGAGACGCTGCTGCGTTCAGGCGTCTGATGGTAAACAGAGAAGAA